TGGGAATTATGGGTCAGGTAAGCAGATACCAAGGTTCAAAGAAAGGGTGAAATACACTGGATGTGACTCATCTTTGGTGCAATAAAGTCCTGTTGTTAAAAACAAGATGGAAAATTTCATGGCCTTGTAGGCAAATTTAACTAAAAACAAGATAATTATGTGAAAATTACGAATCGTAACTCATTTATCGCACATAGATTCTAAACTGAAGAGCTTTGATTAGCGTAATCCCGCTCCTGCAAGATGGGTAGCCCGCCCCTGGTTTCGGGGTTTCGAGCCTACAGTGAATGTCAGACAATCACGGAAATCGGTTGTCGAACTTCAAATGGTTACAGTTTTTACCACCCCCGTGACTGCTTCATTGACGAAGAAAATTGTTAGTAAAAAACAATAAGTCAGTACATACATCAAACGAATCGGTAATTTCCACATATTAAAATGATCAAAACTTATATGAGTGTTACTTCAGAGACAAGACCAAGTAATGCACATGAATAAACATAAATTAAGCAAGCATTACACCAAAAACGTAAACAAAGTTCCAAACAATAGCATAACGGTATCACACATGTCATTCTGCATTACGGTTAAACCAAGTAAATTTCAAAAACAAAGATTCAAACCCACACAAAATATAAAATGCGGCATACAAAACACAAATACGATATAAAGAAATGCAAAAATTACTACCTGCATTAAATAACACAAAATAACAACAAACATTTATGGAGCAACGCGTTCACGACCGCCATTTAAGACAAGATGCCAAACGTAACCCCGTGCTTTTTAGATGGCGCGGGCAGCTTTTTCCCACCTAGAAATTGCATGGTTGCCAACTCTCAAAAATGTGTGTATCGTCGTAAGTTATATATACAGGGTGGAAATCTTGACGTTTTCCCACCGAAATGGGGCTATAAACATCAATCGATATGCTTTGGCCAGATGTTCCAATAACCCTTTGTGAGTACCCTCCTTAGACATTCCATTTTTGCCAAGTTTTGACATCATCAATAGATATGTCTGGTCCAGACGTCCTTTTTAGCGCATTTTCCAACGAAGATTGCAATGTAGTAGATATGGGGCCAATTGTTACAGTCCTCGTTTTTTGAACAAATTACCTCGCAACGTAGTAAGGCTACCATCCAAAACTTTCAAAATTAAAATTAAGACATTTTTAAAAAAACAAAGTTTTTACGACATTAACGAATTCTTGAACTGCCAATGGTCCTCATCCGATTTCAATGTAAGTTAGTCATTAAATGTTTTTGTCCCTTGTTTTTTATCCTTTTCAGAATTGACGTTTGTAAACAAAAAATTTTTGTGTTAACAACAATAAAGATTATTATTATTATTATTATAAGGAAAATCTTGACGATTGAACTGCGCATGCGCAGGCTGTGCAATGTTAAACTTTTTTATTTATTAATATATTTTGTTGAAATTTTAATCACAGATACTTGTAGTAAAGGCAAATATATCGCATATAGTAAAAATCAGATGTGCGCATGCGCAGACTGCGCAAATGCCAACTTTCTTGTTTATGAAGATATTTCTTAAAAATTTTAACCATATATGCCTCTAGTAATGAAAAACATAGCGCACCTAGGTATGGCCTTTGGGGAAGTATTGATCAATTTATGGAAAACGCGCTGAAGTTTTCTCGCCTTAGGGCGAAAACCTTTTTACTTGTTTGCCTTTGTGTGTACACTCGCCCAACATTCTATTCTCGAGAAATGAGGAATTATAACTTATCTCGCAAAGATGTTGGAGAGGGGGGCAGTGGGAACGAATTCCTGGCGTTGAGACTTTTCATTCGAATACCATGAAGGATAATACCCCCCCCCCCCCCATCATTATCCCTCACCGAGACGAACATGGAAACCAGACCTTCGTATGCTGGGGCTATTCCATACTCCCGATGCCGTTGCCTCACCCCTTTCATTACAGGTTTCGGAAAGACGCTATCGAGTTTAACACCGGCGGGTCTGTATGGTATGGATAACCCCCTAGAAACGCTTTCCAATGGAAGATTTCTTTCAATTAGCGTAAGACCTTCGTATACTGGGGGGTATTTCATACCCCCCAGACCCCCCGGTGGTACGTACAATAGCGTCTTGCCGAAGAGGGTTGAGCTAGACCGTTTTGGGAGAGAATGTATCTTTGGGGGGTATGGAATATTCCTCAGGAACATGTTCCAGGGAACATTCAATGTTCCTTTTAATTATTGTGAGATCTTCGTATACTGGGGTCTGGAATCCCCCTCCCCTATTATATTCCCTCCCGAATCCGTCTAGCTCGTCCCTTTCGTTGCCGTTTGTGGCAGGCCGCAATTGAACTTACCTCTGGAGATATCGAATAACCTCCTCCCCTCTCTCCCGAACATGTTCCAGGGAAGATTCAACATTCCTTTCGATTAGCGTAAGACCGTATACTGGGGCTATTTCATACTCCCAGTACCGTCTAGCTCACTTTCTTTATTACAGTTTTCGGCAAGACGCTATCAAACTTACATGAGAAGGGGGAGGGGGGCTTCCAGGAACATGCTCCAGGGAAGATTCAATGGTCATTTCAGTTAGTGGAAGACCTTTGTATACTGGAACTCCCAATATCGTCTGGCTCACCCCTTTATTACCGTTTTTGGCAAGACGCTATCAAACTTACCTGGGGGGGGGGGGCTCCCAGGAATATCCAGGGAAGATTCAATGTTCCTTTTAATTAGCGTAAGACTTAGTGTACTTGGGCCATTCCATATCCCCAATACCGTCCGGCTACCCGTTCATTATCCTAACTGAGGGTATTCCATATACCCCCCCCCCCCCCAAGCCCCGATGTTACATTCTTTCCCAAAACTGTCTGGCTCACCTATGCCATTACCGTTTTTGGGAAGACCCTGTCGAACTTACCTCCCCCCCCCCCCCCCCCTTCGAACAAATTCCAAGGGAAATTCAATTACTGTAAGACTTTCGAATACGGAGGGGGGGTATTCCCAGTGTTACATTCTTTCCAAAAACGTCTCGGCACTTTCATTGCAGTTTTCTGCAAGACGCTATCGTACAAGCGGGGGTCACACATTCTCAATGTTCTTTTCATTTAGTGTACCGGGCGACCCAATAAGACTGTTCCTCGGTAGGGGTTAGGGGTAAAAAAATTATTGGGTAAATCGGTTATGAAGAATTGCTGGAAAATATTTTCAAGTTCTAAAAATGACCACCAGAGGGCGTAATAGTGTCAGAACTAGCCCCCTAGCGAAGGATTTAGCTAAATTTAAGATGGCACTTACGCCCTCTGTTGGTCATTTTTAGAACTTTGCTAGTTTTGTTAAATCTTAGACACAGATCTACGTAGTTTCTGGTCAGTGGCGCATAGTCAAAGGGGGCCTATTTTTAGCCTCCTAGCTCGAGTTAGGTGGCCATTACGATTGCAATTTTTTGGATATGTCAATTTGATCAACTTCCGAAAATTCCAAATTACACAAATTTTGATTCGGCACCAATAGAAAAATTTGACACGCAAACTCCATCTGGGTCGCACTTCGGATTCGAATAAACACACAACTAATTGATTGAAAATGACAAAAATTTACTCAGAAACACATGAAAGAATTGAAACAAATTCAAGAAAAGCGTAGAAATCCTTTTTGGACATATTACCCCGCACACAGGCGGTCGACAATTAAAATAAAAAATGTTGAATTGCAGTTTTTTTTCTTAATAATCCAAATAATAATGTGGTGGGTTGCGATACTAGGCGCAATTCACTTTGCTTTATAACACAATGACAATCAATACTGGCTTGATGAATAAGATGACAAATTTTCGGTGGCTGTTCGGACGGTACACACTTTTAACTTTTAATAAGAAGAGAATCTAAGCGAAAGGCCTTTACTACAACTGCTTGCTTTTTTAAAACAAACGGACAAACGCGGGTTAAACTTCTGACACAACTTTAGTTAACTTGCTTCTGCACAAATGTATGATAAAAATGACGAAGTGCGTCTTCAACTAAACAAATAGGACTGATAAAATGTAATAAGATGTACACACGCTCCTTAACCGTCGCGAAACCAGCAGCCTGCAACCTCGTATTCTCCTTGTCTGCAGTATTTAAGGAAGCATCACTTCCACTATAAAACAAATTCCTTCGTGAATTTTCAAATAAATCGTCAATCACGACGGAACGCGTCAAACGTCAAACGGGGGGGGGGGGTCTACACCCCCCAAATTGCCGGTGGTAACACGTTTTCTCCTAACAACATTTGTGACCATCCAATCCTCAGTTCCAGATGAGTATCTCTTACCCCACAGGCTTCTGTGGGTTACGTTCGTTAGTCCCTTTCCAACAATTGTAGTGGCACTGAATATTGGTGGGGGGGGGGGGCGCTGAGTATTGCGAATATCTTACGATAATTGTAGGGAAATGAACATTGAATCCTTCCCTAGAACTATCGTAATATGGTCGTGATCCCAAAAGTCCATAGCTATGCGACCTATGTTTTTCTTTACTAGAAGGATTCTATGGTTAAAATTTCAAAGAAATGTCTATAAAGTTGGCATTGTCCGGTTTGCGCATGCGCACACCTGATTATTACTATATGCGATATTTGCCTTTACTATCTGTGCTTAAAATTTCAACAAAATACATTAATAAATAAGATAGTTGATATTACGCGGCAACACCCATTAGGGGGTTTTGATACATTTTTTGTATTGTAGCGAATATTTTAGAAATTTAGAGCGACATCGCGGCGCCATCAGATCGATAAAGGATTAGTCACCGGCGATAAAGCATGAAGGCGACTGTGAAGTATTCTTTCCTGGGAATATGATGTGTTTGTTCGAGAGCTTTCCAGAAGGTTTTTGTTGTGCTATATAAGCGGCTTGAATTGTGTTTGATTTATCTTCTTTGCATGGGTTTGCAAATTAATATGACAAAAGTGACCCAAACTCACTTCCTTGAGGCACACTCAACTTTGAGTGTATTAAAATTGTATTTTTTTGCAGGATGCTCGTAAGGCAGCATGCGATACTTCCCTTGTACAGGCGACGGCCAGCCTGGAACCAATCGGTCGAGTTCAAATGCGCACGCGCCGCACACTCAGGGGGCACCTCGCGAAGATATACGCAATGCATTGGGGCTCGGACTCGCGCAACTTAGTATCGGCTTCCCAAGACGGCAAGTTAATCGTATGGGACAGTCACACGACCAATAAGGTGAGTTTTCGTCGCCGGACGCCGGCGATATACTAACGGCGCCCTCTGTCTGTAGGTACACGCGATTCCCTTGAGGTCGTCATGGGTGATGACGTGCGCGTACGCGCCGTCCGGTAGCTACGTAGCCTGCGGCGGTTTAGATAACATCTGTTCAATATACAGTCTTAAAACTAGAGAGGGAAATGTGCGAGTTAGTCGAGAACTTCCCGGACACACGGGCTACCTCTCCTGCTGTCGTTTCTTAGATGATAACCAAATTGTCACTAGTTCGGGGGATATGAGCTGCGCCCTGTGGGACATAGAAACGGGCCAGCAGGTCGGCTCCTTTTTGGGTCATACCGGCGATGTCATGTCGCTTTCACTCTCGCCGGACATGCGAACGTTCGTATCGGGCGCCTGTGATGCTTCGGCCAAGTTGTGGGATATTAGAGACGGCGGATGTAAACAGACCTTCCCTGGACACGAGTCTGACATTAACGCCGTTACGGTAAGTTTTGCGCACGAAATCGGTCCTAACGTCTCTCTCACGGTGTTCCGCTTTTAGTTCTTTCCAAATGGTCAAGCGTTCGCGACAGGCAGCGACGACGCGACTTGCCGACTATTTGATATACGCGCTGACCAAGAACTAGCCATGTATAGCCATGATAACATCATTTGTGGCATCACCAGTGTCGCCTTTAGCAAATCGGGCCGTCTTTTACTTGCAGGCTATGATGATTTCAACTGCAACGTATGGGATTCTATGAAAACAGAAAGAGCAGGTAAGTGCGCAGTGACTAAAATTTCAAAAAATCATTTTGATATTTTTCTGAAAATTGCAAAAATAAAAAAAAAGTATTTCGACGATCGACGAAATGGACGAATGAAAAAATTCAAAAAATCAAACTGCATTTTACTCGCAATATCATATTTCGAACATTTTTTTAAATTTTCAAAATTTAACATATCAAAAAGTGTTTTGACAAAGTGGACGAATCAAAAACTTTCAACAAATCAAATTATGTATTTTAGACATATTTCCATATTTTTTTTTAAATTTTAAAATTAAATATCAAAAAGTGTTTCATATTGAAGTGTTTTGACGAAGGGGACGAATCAAATTATGTATTTTAAAGTCGTATTTCGATGTATTTTCTAAAAATTTCAAAAATAAATATGAAAAAGTGTTTCGTATTGAAGTGTTTTGACAAGGTGGACGAATCAAAAAATGTCAAAAATCAAATTATGTATTTTAAAGTCATATTTCCATATTTTGTTCTAAATATTTCAACATTAAATATCCAAAACTGTTTCGTAAGTGAAATGAATGAAATTTCAAAAAATCAAATTATGTATTTTAAAGTCATATTTCCATATTTTTTCTAAAAATTTCAAAATTAAATATCAAAAAGTGTTTCGTATTGAAGTGTTTTGCCAAAGTGGACGGATCAAAAAATTTCAAAAAGTCAAATTATATATTTGAAATTCATATTTTCATATTTTTTCTAAAAATTTCAAAAATAAGTATCAAAAAGTGTTTCGTATTGAAATGTTTTGACGTAGTGGACGAATCAAAAAATCAAATTATGTATTCTAAAGTCGTATTTCGATGTATTAAAGCTTCAAACATATTAAAATTCTGAATATCAAGACTAAAATTTCAGAATTTCGCAAGATCAAAATTTTTGAAATTTTAAAACCTCAATTTTTGAAATTTTGAAAAATCACTTTAAAATTTCAAAACTTCATACATTCCACTATATTAGCTATATAGTAGTAAATTTTAAAAAGGTTTCCATATTTTCAATCAAAATTTTCAAATTCTCAAAAAAAGATAATTTGAAAATCCCAAAATGTACATTCTAATATGTAGTTTTAAAAGTTCACATTTCGAAAGATTCAAAAAGGTTTTTTAAGAGCCAAGGGGTCCGTGTTTCTAACTCGTCAGACTGCTTCCTATTCAGTTGAGGGGATTTTAAAATTTTCTTTTTTTAAGGTTCAAAAATGTTTCAAAATTTCTGATATTTGAAATGAAAGTGTGGGATTCAGCATTTTATCTTGAAATTTCGAAAATTTTTATTTTGAAATTTTAAAATTTTGACTGAAATTCTAAATTAAAATGGAATTTTGAAATTTGCTATTATAAAACCTTAAAATTTTGAGATGTTGAAGTTTTTAAATTCGAAAATTTCAAAGAAATTGCGAAATTCTGAAATTTTAAAATCTTGATAAGTAAATGTTTCAAACCGTGTCAATCGTTAACCTGCGAAACTAGAAATGAGGAATACTGACGAATCTCAGATTTTACAGTTTCAATCCCCTCCCTCCCCCTCCCCTTCACATCTACCAGTTCTTTTTACAAATTTATTGTAACGTGACGAATATCTCTTTACAAAAGAATGCAAAATCGTACCCCTCCTCCCGCCCTCCTATTGCATAGAAGGCAAAATTAAATACATTATTTATTTATTTATTTTCCCTCTTGTTCTAGGCCCTTAATATTGAATATTCAAAAATTATTCAAAATGTGGGCTACTATTTCTCCCAAGAATTCATGTTCAAAATTTCAGAACTAATTACAATAATTGAGTTTGCGAAGGTATAATTTTTTCTTTTGAGCTTTTGGAAGCTGTGAAATAACTGAAGTCTGTCATCGATTAGTGGTTTCCAAGAGATCCGATGCAATTCGTCTAATTCTGAAATTCTAGAATTTTGAAAGGGTGAAAATTTCGAAATTTTGGTATGTTAAAATAAAAAAAATTTCAAAACTTCAAAACTACAAAGTATTAGTTTTACAGTAGCAAATTTCAGAATTTTAGTTTAGAATTTCAGTTAAAAATTTTAAAAAGGTTTCCATATTTTCAAAATTTAAAAATTTTAAACTATCAAAAAAAGAATTTAAAAATCCCAAAATGTACATTCTAATAGTCTAAAAGTTCAAAAAGGATCAAGGGGTCCGTGTTTCTAACTCGTCGGACTGTTTCCTATTAAGTTTGGGAGGGGGGGGGGGGGGGGGATGATTTTATTTTTGAAATAAAAAACCAACTGCTAACTGCCTTTGAATTTTTGGCGAAAATATTTAACGTGCTCGTGGTAATAACGAATCAAAAATTGGTAACTTTCAATTGCTTAAAACGCGATTGTTTCGAATCTTCAATGATTTCATACTCCAAAAATATTAAACTTCACTATTCCATAATTTCAGCATCTCGAAAGGAGCCGGTTTGAAATTGAACATTTAATTTCAAGATTTTAAAGTTTCAAAACGTCAGCGCCTCAACATGTTAAAGTTTTGTAATAGCGTTGTATTTTAAAAACATTTTGAAACCTCGCGGGTTTGAAACTTTAAATTTTTCAAAATTTTGAAATTTGCATTACTAAAATCTGCATTTTCACATTTTAAAATTTTCTTTTTTTAATATTTAAAAATCTTGATGTTTTCAAAATTTTTGATATTTGAAATGAAAGTGTGGGATTCAGCATTTTATTTTGAAATTTTTAAAAATTTTTATTTTGGAATTTTGAAATGTGCAAACATTTTCGAAATTTTTAACTGAAATTCTAAATTAAAATTAGATTTTGAAATTTGCTATTATAAAACTTTTAAAATTTTGAGATATTGAACCTTGTAAGTTTCAAAATTTCAAAGAACTTTGGAAATTCTGAAATTTATATTATATTAAATTTTAAATTTCAAACCGTGTCAATCGTTAACTTGCGAAACTAGAAATGAGGAATACCGACAAATTTCGCATTTTTATAGTTTCAACCCCTCCCCCTTACATCTACGAATTAGTTCTTTTGACAAAATTATGGTAACGTGACGAAAATTTCAGAACTGATTACAATAATTGAATTTGCAAAAGTATAATTTTTTCTTTTGAGCTTTTGGAAGCTGTGAAATAACTAAAGTCTGTCATCGATTCGTGGTTTCCAAGAGAGCCGAAGCAATTCGTCGAATTCTGCAATTCTAGAAATTTGAAAGGGTGAAAAATTCAAAATTTTCGTATGTTAAAATTTTGAAATCTTGACATTTTTTGCATTTTGTTGACATTTCAAAAGCGTAATGGTAGAGATTTTAAATTTGAGATGTTGAAAATTTCAAATGTGATATTTCGGAATTTCAAAAACTGAGGTTTTTTCAATAGTTTGAAATTTTGAATTTTAGAATTTTTGTAGGTAATGTTAAATATGTTTCGAAACAAAAAATGAACATTAAAGACCATTTGATGCACCTTCTTTCGCCCATTAAAAAGTTTATAATTAATTATGACAATATAAGATCGCCTTTTTTAATTTATATTTTGGTAAAAATTTCAAATTTTTAAAATCTCATTTGAAGCTTCAAAAACCTGCGAGGTTTTGAAATTTTCCTTGATATACGTCAGAACCCTACAACATACCATACACTACACTCTTATGAAATCCAACAAAATTAATTATTAATATTAATTAATTAAGATATAACATTTTTGAAAAGGGAAGTAACTGTGGTACTTTCCATATATAGAGAGGGGCGGGGGGGGGGGGGGGGAGTTGCGTACATTTTCACAAATATAAAGTGCTTGAAAAATTTGTAACTGGTTAATGTGGTGCTTTCAGTTTACGTGGGTGGGGGATTAAGGAAATAATTTTTTGAAAATGCAAGTGGGGGAGGGAAATATGGTGCTTTAACTGCGCCTTTTTTCATAATAATAATACTAATAATCTTCCTAGAAATTGAAGGTTTCATGTTAGTAATACAAGACCAGGTCATTAACACGTGCATACTTAAAGACAAAAACCGACACATGATTCTTGGCGACTCTGTTCATAAACATCAGAAACAATCTAACATATAATATCGGCATGCACATGACATTACCTCTTAAACATAATCTCCTAACAGATAAGATACAATACTACTAATACACTCCACAAATAATACTTGAAAACAACACACATAAATTATATTGGGATAGGACATCCAAAAACGAATCTTGACTATCATTGCATGGAAATTCAATGTTTTGAGTTGTCGAAAATGTTCATGTGGGGATACTACTAATTAATTTAAAAAAAAAATAATAATAATAAATCATAATATTAAATAAATACAAAGAAAATCCACTTACTGAACACGAATTTTTTGAATTTTTGAATGTTTGTAAAAAATATATTGTAACTTCAATTCGTTTTCTTTCTGTTTGTAGGTATTCTCGCGGGACACGACAACCGCGTCAGCTGTTTAGGCGTAACCGAGAACGGCATGGCGGTAGGTACAGGTTCATGGGATAGCTTCTTACGTATATGGAACTAAGCAGTGTTGCCAAACTTTAGTGCTGTATCGAACTGACATCACGTTCTACTTATCCTCTTCTGTTCCCCTCCCCCGTTAGTGCTATTTTCTACTTTGTACATATTTGTGGGATTATATCATTTCTTAATTTTACGCTCCTAGTTTTATATTTATTGCATTTGCTTGCACTGGTGTATAAATGGAAAAAAACGAAACCGCTTCGACTACTTCAAAGTTTTTGAATCGTTCTGCAGATGAATTTGTTAATGAGATTTTTCCCGTTGTCGCTTGCAGTGTTGTATCAATTTTTTCCCCCTCCCGTTTATTTTTATTCCCGAATTATATATTAATGTAACAATGTTAGCAAATGCCGCCAAAGTGTTTGTTAGTTCATTTAAATCTAGATGTAAGTCTGATACAGAAATTTTTAAAAAAGACGTTCAAATCAAGAGGCCGCACTTTAAAAAAAAACAATATCAAAAAGGATTGGCAGAAGTACAAAAAAAAGCATAAGACCAATTTTAGAAATCTGCCCCGTACGTTTCGTTTTACTCCCCTCTTCCTCGATGGCACTAGTTTCAACTAGTCAAGGAACCAAAACACAGTTTTTAAAACAAATTTCAGTGCCATACTTAAAAAAATGTTAATAGTACAATTGCTAATCTTTATACCTGTTCGTGATCGTTGTTCTCCACTTGAACCAAAAATAGTGATAATCGATGTTGTACGAGACGAGACGAGGAGCGTCGACGAGCAGTTGAATACAACTTACTGCCTCAACTGTTTCTCCCCCCTTCCCTCACTTAGTTTTGCGTTTTTTCGCTTCGCGCCAGACGAATTCAGATACCATCACGACATACAATTCAAGTTTCGAATGACGATCCGATCAGTAGTACTAATAATAATAATAATAATTCGTCTGGCATGGGTGTTGTGGATTTGAGCAGTTGTTTTATATTTTTATAATAAACGACAGGGACGTCGTCGCCTTATTTTCTCATTTCGCAATTTACGTAGTGGTTCCAATTTCGTTCGGTGCGAAAACACACACACACAAACACGTTAAAGTAGTTCTCATTATTGTTGATAGGTGAAACTATTCGATGAGTAAAATAGCTTTTTGCTTGTAATGACGCGAGAAAGTGATCCATATTAATCACTCTTCTATAAATATTTTATATGCCAAAAATATCTCACTTGTGTTATTTTCGTGTGCACACTTTCTTAACGCGACTTCTTTTATATACATATATATACCGAGTATGTTTCCATTTATCATATATATAAAGGTTGCTATTTTTGATGCGATGTTTAGACGTGATGGTATCCTCTAAACGTTTTGAAACTGCCGAAAATTTTTCCCGTGTATACTTTCTAAATATCATGTCAAGAAATTGCTGTGTATATGTAAATGGCTGGCATATGAATTCTAAATAAACGTAGGTTTAATTTTTAAATTATTTATAAAGAGAGATGTGCATTTGGAGCGAATGTCTTTATGTGAATGAATGGGTCTACGGTGAGGGTCTCGAAGGTGCCGTTTCATTTTCCAATTACTTGTGTAGCGGTGACCAATTTGATTTTAAATAACGGGATGACAATCTTCCCGAACTAAGGGCTCACTAATTGGTCACAGTTATATAATGCGCGATTCGTACAGAGCGATGAATCGATTGGAAAATTTGGTGGCGCCTTTTATATCATTAGCCCCCAACCTTGAGGTCTCGCTTGACAGTAGATCTTACGGCTGGACGATTCGTAGGCGAGCGCGACTGTTTTTATATTAAAACTAAGTCATGTCACACACAATACAATTTCATTGATAACCAAAACAAATTTACAGTTTCCGCTATAATTTTTAAGGTATGGGCACAATATTGCGCAAAGTGTAGCATATTTCCGTTCTTTTAAGCTATCTAAATGCGGTCACTTTGACGCATCCGTTTTGTGAACCGTCTCCGATGTAACACAGAACGTTTGCGGATTGATTAGCACAATTTGAATAAACATTTTCGGTTTCGCATTATGCGTGCTGCTGTTTGTATGTGGTGTAAACACGATAGCAGGCGCGCAATTCAACTGTAGGGTAGATTGTCATTTTTTTTATTGTTAACTGATTTAAAAAGCGTATGGTGTACGACTTACTATAGCAAAATGTATGTTATAATACTGTATTGTATCTAATAAATAAATAAGGATAAAAATTGCTATTTGTTTTTTCAAACTGGCCATGTTCCTATATGGCGATCTGAAGGCCTATTGTACCCGCACTTAAATATTATCACTACAAGATGTGTTGCAGGTCGGAGTGAGAAATACAAATAAAACAAATACACGCTTTAAAAACGGAAATTTAATCAAAATAAATCGCATTGCAATATTAAATTTTGGAAATAGTAGTTTACCGAATACAACTAAAAAAAATAGGATAGGAAAAAAAGAACTGACCAAGAAAAAACCAGCTAACAAATTAATATTAAACTATAGCAAAATTAGTTGTTTGTAATAACATTGTTGAAATTGGCTAGGAGCTAGAAGAGCATTTTCTTCAGAAAGGATACCTCGGTGGATACGACAAAATAAGGAGTACAACGAGAACGCTACGCTTTTAGCAGATCCCTGTGCGAGTGAGGCCAGGCTTTGCTTCTGTACGACTAAGCAGGACCACAATTCTTTCATTCAAATATCTAGGGCCAGCCCAACCCACTAGTGATAAAATGCCAGGTTATAAAAAACGAACTCCAGGCTCTCGACCATGAGTAGTGACAGTAACCCGATCAAATTACAAATCATGACATACATACATGTATACAGGGTCATTCTTGACGAGCGTCAGAAAGATATGGAAAACCTTTGAAAATGAAGATAAACTGATAAAAGTTCTTTAAGGGTTATGGCACATGATGAATTGAACTAAAATATTTTCAAGATGGCGCCACTTCCGGAAATACCGGAAGTAGCCATCAACTTTGTTAATTTAAATAGGGACTCCCTATTTTTTCTAGATTTTCGGATTCTACGTGGGAGTACAACGATACCCCATAGTTGACCCTTTGCTCCAAGGGCTTCGCCGATATTCAAGTTTTTATGTCAAAAATTGTATTTGCAGGGGTAATTTAAAAAATTTATTCGAAAACGGTGAGAGATATTGCAACACAGTTTTCAGTGACTTAGGAAATGTGTATATGTTTACGGAAGTACGTTCTATGTAAATATAAATTCGCCGTTCCACAGTATTTAAAAAACGGCGTGCAATTATCAGTGGCGGACTAAGGGGGGGGGGGCGGCAGGGGCGGTCCGCCCCGAGCCCCGTCACTAGAGTAGGCCCCCGATGCGTTGCAACTGCAAAGAGAGAAAAAAAAGACCTAGTATTGGCTGGGGTGGCCGGAGGGGAGGCGAGCGGCGGTCGGCGACGGCGTCGGGTCGGTATTCAGCAGAATAAAAGCGCGGAAACATAAATTTTAAGATTTCATCATTTGTTATGTATCAATAAAACCTTATTCACATTCATAGCATTTTTCTATGCGTTTGTTGTGATTCATGGGTTAGAAAAGTAGGGCAGGTGGGGCCCCACTCTGAAAACCGCCCCAGGCCTCATAGACCCTTAATCCGCCACTGGCAATTATGAAGCATCCGCAATCCGATTTCAATAAGTGGGTATGTGGATATATAGACAGGTGGCTCAGGTAAGCCTTTTTTCAATTTTTAGTTGCTTATAATTAAATTTTCTTAGGGATACAAGGTGCTGTGTCCATGCGCGCATAATTTGCAGTTTAATGAAAAGCGTGACATTTTATTGTATATGGAACCCTTCTTTGGCGATCATTTTATATGGCTGTTAAGTAAAATTATTTTGTAATAAAAACCTTTTTAGACGATATCAAACTTCAATGGAGGATTGTCTTCATCATGGTTAAACGGCGTTCGGATTTATTATTATTATTAATATCTATACTTTACATTTATTGATGAGGAGTAGAGGATAATATACCTACAGTTGTGATAAATAAATGCGATAACATTGTGAAATATTACCTACTCGGTGCCGCCACCAAACGCCAGGGCGTAGTTGGCGTATAGGGAAATCCGCCGCAGGTGTAATCCTTTGAACCACCTGACACGAATTCTTCTTCAATCTCTCAGAACCTTCAGCTTCTAATTCAGCCGTCTAAAAATTTACCTGTTAGCGGATTGGGTTGTCCTTCCGCTGATATATAGATTACATATAGAGTCCGTGTCATAATACTGGACACGATCACCTATTGAAGATAATACACTTAGACGCATGAAAATGCTGTGATAAGCCAAGCTTCTAAATTCCAAACCAGGATAGAGATGAAGGCCTGCCGTATTCACTGTCAACAAGTGGTAAGAGGGCCCCATTCTAACCTATAATCTTGTTTACCATACATATTTCTAAGTAGGGCTCTACGTTCGCGTGCTGGGTGAGATGAGGTGCCTGAACACTTGTTTTACGGAAGAAATGATAATACCCTAATCACTACATCTTATATTATTTTAGGTAAGGGCTTAGTCAAAATGGAGTGGATAAGTAAAACAAAACAAAATTTAATGGGTTTATTAGTTCTGGAAAAAAATTCATTGAAGTATACATTATAATTGAAACGATAACCACTTAGATAGAACACCCAGTAGGTGTTTTCGAGTTCCAGGTCTTTGAACCTCCTGTTCATGTATATCCCATTTTCTAATTTTAAAATAGCAACATTTTCCTAAATAAGAGCTAATTAAAATACGGTATGATGCATGAAAAGTACTTACAGATGCATATTTTCGTTGTAGGTATAAACAATCGTAGCCCGTAGGTAGTTCTCGTTCTGCAAATATATGGTTAAACGTGTGATAGATATGTGGCGTATTTACCCATATATATAAGAGAAGTATATGGATAAACGAGTGGACACGCCTATCGCCAACGTTAGTGGATGGAAATATACTTCTGTCATTAGTTGGGAACTAGGCGCTAATGCGCTTGCCTGTTATTATGTAGTGTTATTTACCAAGCATTTACTCCAGTTTGACATAACGGATTGAGGTTAAATTGTTTGTTTTGTTTATGAGTTATTGAACTTTTGTTTAATTTTAATAGTAAAGAAGCCTTTCGTAGTTATATAATATAAATCAGTATACGTAAGTGATACACAATAATTGTAAAGGAATACCTAATGTTTGGCAATTTTAGTGTGTTCATTACTTAGAAATAAAGAAATGCAGGTACTTGTGGGAAAGTGGATTCTTCGGTTTCATGGCACAAGTAAGTTACAATGCAATTATCTGCAATCAATTCATTTATGCCATACTTGTTATTAGATTCCCAAGTGAAAAAAGCAACAAGAATCGGTGACTGCAAGCATGTGAACTATCGGAATTCGATGATGTAAAAACAAGGTTGTGTTCTCGTCATTTTAACCGCTATGACTGCATTGATTTGGATGCACGCAAGCATAATGGGGGCACGAAGTTATATGGGGATCACTTAACACCTAAAAGATTTCCAACTCGACAATGTTAATTTTATTTTAAAATCAGTAAATGTCTTTAATTTAATTGTGTTTCTTTGAACATTGGTAATGTATCACTTTATATTATAGCTGATGCGAACTTATCCAATTTCATGTTATATTCAAGATATAATCCCTATAGGTATATTATTTCAATTGCAATTTAAGTTTCTAAATCGTTACAAAGTTTGCCTTCGAAGTTGAAGGGTGTAACCGTAAACAAACTCCGCTGAGGAAGCTCGAAAGTTCTCCGTGAAAATGCTACAGTTTCCAAGAACGATACGGAGTACCTTGAACCAGAACTCACTGGGTGGCACGTGAGCGCTGATTTGAGTTGGCAGTGAAATCATTCAAGTAGGCCATTGACTGCAGGTCCCGAATCCTAGTGTGCCGAAAACAATGTTGAGGGCACAAAAAAGGGAAGATTCAAATTGTCGTCGCTGATCGGTGAAGATGCTAGTAGGGGAATCGAAGCGATATAGTCAAAAGGTAAGAAACGCTTCGGCGGCGATTGGTCTTGAGAGGGTGGGCCTCGGCCAGCTAGTATACTTACCTAAAGACATCACAGGATCAGACAATAGTGATAGGAGTCGGCAGGTGAAATAGGGAAAATGTGGTGAATATGAACCTGCATGAAGCGAATAGAAGTCTGGGTGAAGTTTCCGAATGGTGCCCGGTTGTGTTTACATATGGTAATTGCACACAATAATGGTTTAATAAAATTTTAACCCTATTTTCGAGTTATAGGTTATGAAATTTGAAATTGGCGCTACTTAAAAGTAGGCGGAGAGAAGTAAATATTTACTTGGGGAGTTTGCGCATAAATACAGAGTTGAGGACTACTTTTATGGCGAACAATTTGCACATTGCAATCATAGGCGGTTATCCATATACTTCTCTTATATACAGGGTGATTCCTATAGTACCTGCCACCGTTTGGGAGCGTATAGGGGGTGCCTAGGGGAAGTCTTTTCATATAGGACACTTGGGGTCGGAAATCCAAAATAAGGGCGCCAGAACCAAATTTATCTTCTGGAATTTCACGCCTGTATGTAGGCAACCCAACCGACCGACGTTTCGCGCGGAGCGATGCAGAGCGAGTTAGCGCGAGGAAGCGACATGGGAGGGAAGGAGGGAAAACGACAGTCAAAAGCAATAACGTTTACAAGTGTTCAACGTGGCCACCGTTGTTCTCAATGCACTTCCTACATCTAGCCAACCACTCCCCTCGAACTCGCGTGAAGACTCCTATGTCCTGGCGAACAGCCTCTCCGGCCATGACGACGCGCGCAATTAAGTCCTCTTCGGATTCGACGGGAGTCTCGTAGACGTGCGCTTCCATCACACCTCACAAGTAAAAATCTAATGGGGTGATGTCGGGCGAGCGGGCAGGCCACTCCACCGCACCTCCACGGCCGATCCATCTGTCCGGATAGGTTTGGTCCAAGTGTTCCCTCACCTGCCGCCCGTAGTGAGCAGGGCACCCATCGTGCTGGAACCAGTGGTCCCAGTACAAGTTCACTGGAACATCCATTAAAAGTTCTGGTAGCACCTCGCGCAGGAAAATCAGGTAATTATGGGCATTTAGACGCGGAGGGAGGATGTAAGGCCCCAGTAGGTTGTCCCCCAGGATGCCAGCCCAAACGTTTAAAGAAAACTTGTCCTGGTATCCTCGCGTAAACGTTTCATGAGGATTGTGCTCCGCCCAGTAGTGGCTGTTACGAGGATTGAAGGTCCCCTCTCTTGAGAATCCTTTCTCGTCAGTAACTAGCACGCTCCTCAGAAAGTTCGGATTAGCTTCTTCCTCCTGGACGACTAAGTTGCAGAATTCCAGCCTCCTTTCATGGTCACCCGGCCGTAACTCTTGCACTTTCTTAAACTTATAGGGGTGTAAGTTGTTGTTGTTGGCGATGTTCCACACTGTGTGTTGACTACAACCCACCTAATCTGCTACAAGTCGAGTGCTAGTACGCGGGTTTGCCTCGAAACGTTCCAACACATCCTCCTCTAAGGCATTTACCAACGGGCGATCGCGATCACGGGCGCTAGTGGGCTGCGAAATAGGTTGGGTTGCCTACCTACAGGCGCGAAATTCCAGAAGGTAAATTTGGCTCTGGCACCCTTATTTTAGATTTCCGACCCCAAGTGTCCTATATCAAAATACTCCCCTACGCACCACCTACACGCTCCCAAACGGTGGCAGGTACTATAGGAATCACCCTGTATATGTATTTACCATAGGCCGCCTGCAAAGAATTTGTACCATTGCTGTTTCTATTCTGATCTGAGAGCCTCCTGCAATGTTAGTAAACAACACAGAATACGGCCTTCTCAGTCTGAGAAGGCCGTATTCTGTGTTGTTTACTAACATTGCAGGAGGCTAAGTTGTCACATTTCACGAGATACTTTTTAAGGGAATAATAATAACATATGCGTCTGGAGTAATCTAAATGGATTTTTAGATGCTTATAAGAGTTCAGTAACTCAAACAATTTTAACTTACAATTAAACGGCGTAACAAGAAAAGTTATGGTGATTAGTGCACCACATCGGCAACGCTGTAACTTTGTTTTCCGTTGAGAAGTATTTTGTTTATTTCGTTAAAACGTGATTCCTTAATTTTTAGGCGTTTTTATAGTGCAAGACTTATTCGATTTATGGTGTATTAATTTATGGGAACGCTTTGAAATGGGGAAAAGCTGTATTATTTGTGGAATTATTGAATTACCTTACATAACCTTTCATCGGTATTTGTTTTGATGTCATAGACGTGCATACGGGAATTTTCACATTTTAATGTGTTTAGATTTCCTTCTAAGTTCCCACTTTGAAGTATCACCATACCTTATCATAGATCAATAGGGACCTTTCAAACACATACGGCTTTTGATCATAAATATTTAGTGATACGTTATTACGTTTGCACATTTAAACAAAACATAAACTTTGTTGCCCATAAAGATAAATAAACCCTACGCCACTGACTAATGTTTATTTTCGTCCTCTCAACGGTGAGATGTTGGTTCAAAACAAACGTTCACGTTATTTATAGCATACGCGTACTCTATCTTTATCCAAGATCATCAGCCCTCCCCAATTTTTTTTCCAGAGTTGCCAACGGTAAGTATAGGGTAAGTCAACGTTTTCAGTGTCGACTTGATAGACCCCTAGGACCATTACAATACGATATGCTCCAGTATATACCCGTCTTCGACCGTTCTGCGCAGATGCCGAGGACCGGGGGATTTTCACAATCGTTGGAAGAAGGTTAATGGCAGTTAACGGTATTCGAATGCGGAGCTGGGTTTGAGTAATGAGTTTTGAAAGTATATTATTACTACCTTTAAATTTTAAAGGTAGTAATCACTTTGTTCTTTCTTGTACTTAATCTTGGAATTCCATGTCAAAATTTGTTATATTTACATTTGCATAAAATACGGATAAAGAAGCGTGGTGTACTTCGAGCCGTTGTTCATGTACCGTTATCTAAGTTGTTTGTTATACTGAAAATTATATTTTTTATTAAGTATTTATTTATGTACTAGCTGACCTGACGGACATTGTCCTCTTTCTTAACTATGAATACCTATTCAATTTGGACTGAAATAAATAATAACAAAAAAATTTGTTGTGGCTAGCACAAGTACCACCCGCCCCACCTGTGCATGCACGATTCTGCCCTTTTATGTCTAAGAATATGTGTAGCAAATTTGGTTTAAATCGGTTCAACTGTTTCACCGGAAAAGAAATTTTGACACACTTGCCACAAAATCTCCCCATCTCTCCCCAATATAATAAAAAATAAACGCACTCACTTCCATAGTTGCTTTTGGTGATTCAGAGCGAGCAACGTACCTTTTTTTGCGCCAAATGCCGTAATTTGAAAGCAATTATTGTATTTCGGGATATGAGTAAAAAAATGTATAGAAACTGGCCCATTTCCGGAAACCAAGGATTGTAGTGGCTCTGGTGGCCGTACCTATGGCATCAATTTCACTTGGCCACTGGCGCAACATAATCCAGGGCCTTCAGTAGCCTTGCAATATGGACACACAAAGTTCTTTGGTCTAATAGCAACGATTTAATGTAAACTGTAATCGAAAGGGGAAAAATAAATTTCAACATTTCTGTTATTAGTAGCATTTCATAAAACAACAATAGTCATGGTTATTTTAAAATTTGCGGGTATACCAAAAGCTTAATAAAACATGTAAAAACAGTTTTGTATGCACCTTTTAATTCTGAACAACTTTAAACTCTACAGTTTTTTCTGTAAAATGTACAGGAGGGTAGGATAGTGCATAAAACTAATTTCCCATGTTAAATCCCTATGTTCCTATTTACCGAGCACCACCCGGTATATGTT